AGTCAATCGATGAATATTCGGACGGGCATATCTAGACATACAGTTATCGAACGAGTATGAGAGACTAAGCAAATTTATTGTTCCACAAGGAAGAAAACTAGTTTTTAAAACATAAATTTGTACCATTTCCATATTAGTTTTATTATACAGAAACAATCTAAGGGGCTAAATCATGCAAATGCTCAGACTTTTTTTTTCAACAATATAAAGGCATTCAAATGTACACAAAAGCTTGTATCTATACTTTTTTTTGATATCTTATGCATTAATGCCGAGAAACAAAAATAATAAAGTTACCATAACCATTTGAGAGCAGCACCGAATTTAAAACTTAATGTGAACTTAATAAAAATGTTTGTTCTTGTTTCGGTATAATAAACAATTCATTGTATGAATGTTCGAGAAACACGAAGATTTATTTTTTCTAAAAAATATCATATGATTTTTCTTGGCTGAATAAATCTTTATATTTCCGTCACTATCATGCAATAAATGTTTAATAGGAGTTATAGTTACAATATTAGGGGCAATAACCTAGTTTACCAACATAGAAGATGGTTAGAGGTAGAATAAAATTATTCTAAATACCTTACTCATGCAAGACAGTATCTCCGATTATTTATATTGTCTTAAAGAATGAAAGCAGAAAACATTTTGAAAGGAAACTTAGACAGGAGATTGTCAATTTGGCAAGGGAGAGGGATAAAGGTAGGCTAGTTACCGTTGCCTTCCTCGACAACGAAGTATAGCCTTTGAGATGACCCGTTATTTTTCTTTTCTAAACTATGAAGCTTAATACTTATATCCCGTACATTTTCCCGATGTAAGAGAAATGTGGAATGTAAATGTCAAGTAACAAAAGTCGATTAACAGTAAAGGTATATTAAAAGGTATTAAAATATACTATGATAAGAGAAGAAATGGGCGATTCACGACTTTTGGTTCTGATTCGGCCGGGAGGAACGTAATTTGACGTCTAATTAGAATATCATGAGGCGCTTTTTGTTATTTTGATCAACTTTGGTTCTTTGATGTAACATGATTGATTGTATATTATCTAATGTCTCTTCCGAGAATTTTTCACTCATATGGAGACGCCACCACTTGCCGATGGAGAGCTACAAATTTTGTCCTATGCTCGGCACTAAGGGCCTTTGAGCAGGGAATGATCTTTTTCGTGCCAGCACCTACTTCGACACGGGACCAGGGTTTATACGATCTCATCCGAAGGACCGGTCTCCACGTCCGACAGTGGGATTCGAATCCGCGACGCAAGGATGGACTCATTAATTCGAGACTATACAGCAGACGCTCTAACCATGCGCCATGCAGGCGGCTCTTTTAATGTATTAAAAATTCTCAACAGTTTTATTTATTTATAAAGAGAACAGTCCATCTTGATCTGCCAATTAAAGGCAAGCCCATTATCTTTGATGTCATTTTAAACATGCTGTAATTATGCAAACTTTTTTTCTATATGTTTTGAGAAATTATTTTAGTAGAGTGATATGAAACTAAATATTTTAAATTTTGCGAATGGCTTTGACCCATATTTTCGACCCCCTGAAAATCGAAAACATGCATATCTCTATGCTGAAAGTGATTTCATAAAACAAAACAAAAAAAAAAACTTTGTACACAAGATGAAACACACCCTTTAAGTCTGGTTTAATGTAGGCTAATAGGTTCTTAATGATGGTTTTATGGTTGTCTTTAAGTCACCATTAAGCACCTTTAAGTAACATATACACCACAATTAAATTACCATTTAGCCATCTTAAAGTCCTTAATGGGTGCTTAAATATAGCTTAATGGTAATTTAATGGTGGCTTACAGGTTCTTAATGGTAGCTTTTAGACCACCAATAAGTCACCATTAAGCTACCATTAAGATAAAAATAAAAAGAAAAGTCGCTACAAAACGGGAAGTGATCTCATGACCAGTAGCTTAAATGACAAAAGCCTTATCCACTAGGCTATCACAGCTTGTAATTGTATGAGAAAATATTAAAGCATTATTTTTCACAAAATGTGTTTGGACTTGTAAAAGTATTTTAAGTCTTGAATTGATGTATTAATCAAAATATAAATAATTGTATTTATGGATCTTTTTAAAAGTCGTTTATATCACATTAGGCTAATATTTCTAAACCGTTGAGTTCGGCTTTTAAATTGATGCAATGAATTCTTTGCTCTGTTATTCGAAGATTTATACACGTAAGCATTTAATTATGATAGAAATTATCATGATAAAATTAATTATAGATAAAACACAAAAATCTATCATGGGAGAAGAAAGATGAAACCCCCCCCCCCCAGATTCTACTATTTTTAAATATACTGCGGATATTAATGGTTTTTGTGTCTAAAAAATCACAATCCTCGCGTTAAAGTTACCTGGTAACGTTTACAAAAACCTTTTTTAGAATGTCATATTCAGTTTAAATTCTTTTTGTATCATAATGGGTATCAAAATAATTGTCTTTTTACAATGAATCATAATTTTTCATTTGTTATACGTATGCTTGCGTTAAATTTTAATTTTGTAAAAATAATTTATCATCAAAATCTGTCAGTGTACGTTGTGTATGTATAGTTTCCTGTTAGTTAACCGGGGACTGTGGACACACCTAATTAAGGTCTATTGTCTGACCAGTCGGTATACTGTACACTGTTAATCTGTTTGTGATTGTGAGATCTGCAACCTTCCGATACAATAAGCTCCGGAGAGACACACGTGTCTCAGGTGATCCTGGATTCGTCCGTTTCCGGAAAATATTTCATGATGGAAATCCCGCTTTATTCTGGCGACTATCCCAAAACTGTTATGAGATTTCGTGGTGCAAATTCATTTGCAAATTAGTCTCCGAATCTCCTCGAGAAACAACAGAAATTTTTCCCCTTTTTGGATCTCTGTACGTTGATCTATTTAACCATGCGTCGTGTACGTTTCGTATAACATATGATATACGCAATCAGTGGTGGGAGGATGTAATTAACTACTTTGACATTAACCTGTCAGTTGAACTGTGTGCCCGTACTGATGATGAGCTGTACTTGATTCTTCTAGGCCGTAGGCCGAAGACCATTCTATACGCCTTCCACCTCCGAAACTTCCAGTTACGAAACTTTCGTTTCATTATCGATGCTTGTGCCTTCTAAAAGCGCAATCTTTTCGTACTGCAAATGTGCCAGTGAGGGATGCTTCCAGCCCCTTAAATTTATATCTTCTGTATTCCCATTATGTTCATTTAAGATTTATTTTAATACGCAAGAACATATTTATATATATGTATGAAGTAGGGTAATGATCTCAAATGATTTGTGATCTAAAACATTGTAAATATTTCTTTTTTTCTTTTTATATGTGGTATGTTTACATATTTACATTTCCAATGTCTTTTTCCGAGATAAAATTACCAAATGTAAATGTACTTTATTTCTCCATCAATGTATTGGCGCGGTTCCAAAAAAAAAAAAAAAAAAAAAAAAAAAAAAACCGTTCAGGGTGGGACAAACAGCTAGACAGAAGCAGGGCTTGGAGCACGTGGATTGGCGGAAACAAAGCATGTAAATATAAGGAAAAACTGTCAGATTTTTCAATTTCATGAAGATGATCAATCGATTGGCTTGCGTGATAATTTTATGAATAAACGCCTTCGGCGTTTATGCAAATTATCACGCAAGCCAATCGATTGATTACTTCATGAAATCGAAAAATAAGACAGTTATTCCTTAAATGAAAACCATCTAGTTATTTTATATATATGATATATTTCTTTTATGTGTGTGTGTTTTTTTTTTGTTCAGTTTTCATTAATCACTTTATAGTGGAAATAAATGAATGAATGGCTGTATTTTGACAGATACTTATCGCTGCATTACATAAAAGAAAATAATGACAATTAACCATGAATTAATTCAAATTATTCATTATGTAAGCATGGTAAAAGTCAATCTTTGAAAACTAAACATTTATATACCGGTAGCCCCCCCCCCCCCAAAAAAGGGATTTTTTTTTCATGAGAATATGACGTTATATTCCTGTGAATTCTGTAGCTGAATGTTGCTTTTAAAACATGAAATAAAAATACTGCTTTTTATAAAAAAAAAAAAGATATATATTTTGTGTTCATGGATAAAGATGATTATAATTACTAGAACAAATTGATTTTCGGTATTGAAAAATTAAGATTATTTCACATGGGCTTGCTCACGGCGTGTAATAATGATTTAATTACAAAAATTAATATACACTAATAATAAAACAATGCATGAAAATTATTTACTTTTTAAAAATCATATAAGGTAATGACTTAACATGTCTTGTTTTATTATTTCTGTAAATGCTTTTGTTAAATAATAAATAATTATTAAACACCGGGAGCAAGCCCTGTAGGTACATGTATGAGCTAAATTTGTTCTCAGTGTCCGAGTTTATGCATGTTGACAAGAATGTTATATAGAAATGACGATCGACACAAAATTATGAGTTGAAATAGACTTTGCATAAATGATATTGAAACAACTTAACAATTTAGTTCAAAGATTCGATATAAGATGCGTAAAAGTGGTTTAAATTGATTTGACCATTAAGCCACCATAAAGCTCCGCTTAAAGGTGGTTTAATTGTTGGACATTAGGCACCTGTAAGTTAATTGCAGCTTAATGGTGGCTTAAAGGAATTAACATCGTTAAGCCACCATTAAGTCACAATTAAGCTACCATTAAGTAATTGCTCAAGGGTGGTCTTTCGTTTTGTGGTATCTGTATACATGTATTTTAATCTGAACTTTTCGTGAAAATATTTGAGCCGTTTCCGATAATTCCAAGGCAAGAAATTGGCAAGAAAAGTAATACCAATCGAAAAATAGACTTTGTGAGACAGAAAACCTTAGTAAAGCGAAATTCAGAAACAAAAATAAATTCATGCTCACAAAAATTTAAATAATTTCTTTTGCTTTGTTATAGATAAAAAGATAAAAGAAATACTTTGCTTACGCCCTTAAATGGTTCATTCTGATGCTGTCTGTTTTCAGTAGCTTTGCAAACACATTTGCTAATTTTTCTTTCAAATATCCAACAAGAGTCCCATCCTCGGTTCTAACTTGGACCGCAGTTGAACTATCTTCTGACAGAAATGTGTCATACCAAAGGACAAGATCTGTCTCTCCATCATCAATAGCATCCTAAATTTATTCAGGTGCAAAATATTAGTTTTAATGCAACATTATACCCTATCAATATGTTAATTTAAACGTACTACTAAGACCATTGGTGGGCTCAAAGTGATCAGTTAAATTATGAACTATAGAGATAACTCGCAAGGGAAGTTTATTATTTTGCACTCATAAAAGTACAAATTATCTTTTCCCAAAGTTAAACTGCCATATTGGTAGAGAGAAGTGTCTTGAAAGGTAGAACTCATGGAAGATGTTACAAAAGCTTAATAAAGGTTTCTTTTATGTAAAAGTGAACTGTTTAACTCGAGAAAAATTAAAACAAGATGACAGAACATGTGAGAAGCAAAAATTCTATATTTTGATTCATCCCTTGTGTTATTTTATATAAAAGGGGTTTACAAATTTGTAGACACAGCCGCCACGTGTTCCTTGTCATGATCGGGAAAAACGATAAAATCTTAATCAATTCAGTATGTAAATAATGGACTAACGATTGGTATGAAAATAATCAGTCAACTTTTGGCATAATTGATAGGTTGTGTATTTGCTGGCAAGGTCAATGCATCGACGAAAAAGAGGCGAAATGTTTACTTCAAACGAGATTGTTGATATCCTTGTTTCATCAACAGTTTTCTGCTACGAAATAAATTATTTCATGTTTCAATATTTCTAATGGTTTCATACAGTATCTCTTTTTATATCAAGTTTTACATCATTATCAAAAATCTGTATTTATTGGTAAATATCACTCGATAAAAATAATAAATGTATACAAGTATTTAAAGTGTCAGGTCTATTATTCAGCTTTATTTCACTGAAAAAGAGACAAAAAATCTCTCGAATGGTACCAGGTATTCGACATTATTTATTTTATATTTTTGATAAATATATAGAATTGTTTTTTGATCTAACTGGTTGATACATGTTTTTGGAGTGTACTGAAGAAAAATCGCCCTTGAAAATTATTGAAATGATCAGTTTGCCTCTGTAGAAAAATTTCCTTATCTATAAAGGTCAAAAAGTAGAGAACTGAAAGATATGGATGTTTGATTTTGAACAGGTTGTATTTGAATAATTAGGGAAGGTTTGGCTTTGAAACCCCGGAACGTTTGATTTTATTGATTTGCGAAGTTGAAATTGCGATCTACAGTGATTATATGCCATCCAATACTCTCCACATTACATAAGTAGTTAAATATAATTTTTCTTGCATAAAAGATCAAATTACTTTTGCATTTTCATGAGGTACTAGGATATCATATACATTTTCAGTTTTTTAAAGATGTATATGAGTAACTTTTCATAATTAAATAAAAGTTATCAAAGTTTGATAACAGTCAATTTGAAGAAACACCAAAAACATTCAATGGCCAAAAATTTCATTTTATTAAAAATTAAAAACGCTTTCTCATTTATAAATCAACACGCATTTATATAGCAGTAAAAAATAAAAATGAAGGCCTTACTTTTCCTTGGCCGAAACTGGTTTCAATAGAAACAGTGTAATGGCGGAGAATCTCAAACGTATCTTCCTCCTGGACAATTTGCTCATCCATATCTTTTTGTGTACATGGAAATAGATAGAATAATTTGAAGCACTCGAGAAATATCATGGATACTGAATGAATGGAATATATGGAGATAACAAACAGTATTTAAGATCAAAAGTCAATAAAATACAAAATAGAAGCAGAGCAAACAAGGACCTCAGAAACATCAGAGGTGAGATCTGGTGTCATGGAGGAGTGAACATCCCCTGCCGACCCGCCATGTGCTCCTTGTTATGGTCGGGAATAACGAAAAAATCCGTCGTCAATTCAGTGTATAAATAAAGGACTAACAATTAGTATGAAAAACGTCAGTCAGCGTTTGAAGAAATGATAAATTGTATTTGCTGACAAGGTCATTGTATCAACCATAGAACTTATGGAATGATGACTGTAAACGCCACTGCTGATGAATTCATTGTTTGGACATTTTTCTGTATTATTAACCATTGTCTTCCAGTTCTTTAAGGTAAGATTGAACCACAAAAGTCATACTTTAGAAAAATTTGTGAGCATTTAGTTTTTTACTATTGTTTATTACATTTAACAAATAATTTTCTTTTGTATTTCTAACTTTGACCCCTAATTGTGACCCTTAGATAGCCTAGGTTAAACAATTGACAAATGTGAAATTACAATATATGTACACATTGTACTACTTGAACGCTGTAATGTAAATGTGACCCTGAAGTATGAGATACCGGACAGTAATCATGCTCAAAAGTCAATTGAAACAATATTTATAGTAACAAAGCAAATAATGACCTCTACAACATCATCGATGGGTTCTGGTGCTATGGATCGGAGGAGTAAACATCATGCTATGGAGAAGTTACCATCCCCTGTAACCGGCCGTCACACCCGCGTGTGCACCTGATGATGATCTGGAACATGAAAAAAATAAGACAAAGAAATGTATTAATAATGACTCAACAATTATTATGAAAAAAATCAAGATACTCTGGTCTAATCAGAGGGACGTTAAACAACATACAATCAGTCAATCCAAAATAAACCCGGGTATTTAATTAATTATCCTCAAACAAGTTTACTCTTTTTCTTGTTTAATAATGCATTTTTATTGATATTTTACGTATCCCAATTCTATTCGTGTCATAAAATGCAAACTATCATTGATGTCCAACACTAAATGACATTTTTCACACTAATTGTTTTAATATTTTCATGAGCGAATACAGGATTTGTAATTGGGGGTGTGGACAAATTTTTGAGGCAAAAGGGTCTGGGGCCGCTTTAAGGCCCCCAGTGGGTCCAGGGCGAAGTCCCCGGAAGCTCCTGGATTTCTGTGTATTTTAAGAGTAAATCAGGCACTATAATAGTGTATATTTTTCATTTTTTTTTTTAAAGTGACATATAGTCCGGGTGTTTGAATATTGATTCTATTGAATGTTCCTCCTTGTATTGTATTATAACACATGCCACTATAATCAAGGAACTATACATACTGACAGGGGTTTCTCAAGTCAATTTTAATTAATTATATCTTTTATGCTATCACATATTTCAGATCAAAACATTTAATTATCTATCAAAAATTCATTAAAATTTTTTTTCTACCACGGCCGATTATATTTTTTATCATAGTAGTAATTTTGTTTTATTCAAAATTTCCGAGGAATCACCTATTTCGTTGTTTTTTTCTTTTAAATATTTGATTTATATTAAAATTTATGCGTTAAAATCTATTATCAATTCCAATACATAAAATGAATAAGTGATATTAATCAGAAAACACCCTATTTACTAGGAATAAACTTAGTTTAAACAAGAGACCATGGGCCACATCGCTCACCTGAGAAGCTTTTACCATTCTGTTCTTTACCAGATTTCCCCCTTGTAATATATATTGTGGCCCTGCCCTACCCCCGGGGGTCACGATTAGAACAATTAGTTTAATAGAAGTTTAAAGATTTTTCCAATATATTTCTATGTAAAACTTTGATTCCCCATTGTGGCTCCACCCTACCCCCGGGGGTCATGATTTGAACAATTTAGAATCTACACTACCCTAGGATGCTTCCACATCAGTTTCAGCTTTTCTGGCCCAGTGGTTCTGGAGAAGAAGATTTTCAAAGATTTTCTCCTGTATATTTCTATGCAAAAGTTTGATCGGCCATTTTAGCGCCACCCTAGCCGGGGGGGGGGGGGGGTCAGGATTCGAACACATTTGAATTAACACTACCTGAGGATGATTCCACATGAGTTTCATCTTTCCTGGCCTAGTGGTTTTTGAGAAGAAAATTTTTAAAGATTTTTCCTATATATTCCTATGTAAAACTTTTAACGGCCATTATAGCCCCATTCTAGCCAGGGGGTCATGATTTGAACAAACTTGAATTTACACTACCTGAGGATGATATTAAATGAGTTTTATCTTTTCTGTCTCAATGGTTCTTGAGAAGAAGAATTTTAAAGATTTTCCCTACATATTCCTATGTAGAACTTTGATCGGCCATTTTGGCTCCACCCTACCTCCGGGGGCCATGATTTGAACAAACTTAAATCTAAACTACCTGAGGATGATACAACATGAGTTTTATCTTTCCTGGCAGATCGGTTCTCGAGAAGATTTTTTTAAATGCCATCAATCTTTCTCTTATTCTTAACTATCTCCCCTTGGAAAAGGGCGTGACCCTTCATTTGAACAAACTTGAATTATGTTCACCTAAGGATACTTTGTGCCAAGTTTGGTTGAAATTGGCCCATTGGTTCTTGAGAAGAAGATGAAAATGTGAAAAGTTTACAAAAACAACGACGACGACGACGACAACAACGACGACAACGACGACAGACAACGGATATATTTTGATCAGAAAAGCTCACTTGAGCCTTTGGTTCAGGTGAGCTAAAAACTTGTAGTGTTGTGCATGATGTTTTATTTGGATAAATTCACATGGCAATGAAGGAGTTGCCTATCCCGTTAATATATACTTGTAGGTCCCTGCTATAATAAACGATTTACTTACTTACATACTTATAGGTGTATTGGCTAGTTATAAACCAAAGTACGGCATAATTAATACTAGTCATATCGTACTTTGAAAGATGGGGGCCCAGGGGGGCGAAGCCCCCGGAAGCTCCTGGGTTTTTGGTGTTTTTGAAAGAGTAAAACCAGGCAAAATGATATTGGTATTGGTTAGTTATATGTACCAAAATATGGCATTATTAAATTAGTCATATCATAATTTAAAAATTTTAGGAGGGCGTGCGCCCTCCACGCCCCCCTTAAATCCGCCAGTGATTTTTCCGTTTAGCCGACCATGTAAAGGGGCCAGTAGCTATTGTGACCTGTCGACAGAGTCTGCTTACTATGTCTGCTACATGATTCCGTGATATCACCTATGATGTTTAGAGGCCCTTGTTAGTATTGCTTCCAGTTTGTATTATGATCTTTATAATAATATTGTATGATTATATATGTGATTACATAGTGTGTCACGTTATGAATTGTGACCTCCTTACAAGTTCATATATAATTAAACATATTTTCTCCTCAATAGCAATATATTGATCTAAGTAAAATAGTTGCAAATGTAAATATCAAACAATGACTGAAGCATTTATTACATCTGGCATTATTAAAAAGATTTTTTGGGCTTAACTGTTTTCATCAAAGGTATGTGATGTTAAACAATTATTCATCCAATTTCAAAAGACACATGATATTATAAAATGAAGCAATTTTGTTAATTCAATTGTCACATGCCAAATATTACAAATAAAACAACACAATTACAATTGCATATAAAATATTGGCATTTTGCCTTCATAACAATGAGAGAATAAATATAAAGTTAAAAAAAGTATTTTTTCCACAGTTTTAAAATTTCAGTTACCTCGTAGGCCCTTTTTGAAAACATCAACATGCTTCTTTCTTTTGTACATTCAAGATATTATGTATGGATATATGAATTTTGGCACAAGTTGTTCACTATTTTCGCAGTATGTTTTTAATTCAAAAAATTTATTGTTCGCGTGGTCAGCAAATAGTGATAAATAAGTCAAAGATGTGTATTATATCTTCTTCTTCCTACCAATATCCTTAAATTAGAAGAAATATGAAAGTGAAAATTTATCAACGCCCCAAAACCAGGTATTATGGTATATGGAATATTTATTTAGCCTAAGCTAATTATAGAACGATATCCTTAAATAGCTTTTAAAATTTCCGAGTTTAAACGAAAGTGTAAATTTGAAACTATAAATAGATTTTATACCTGGATGAAAACTTTGCTTTAGGTGTGGGTTATCTTGAACTAGTAACAATCAACGGTGTTGTTTGATTTAAAATGCATGTGCTGAAGTTAAAAGTTGCCATTTTAATTTTCTGAAAGCTAAGATTGCATTATTTTTGCACATGACACTCAAAATAAATTGCTGTATTATATATACATTAAATGTACTCTATCAAATGTTCTGTTTAAAAAAGTGAATCTACTTCATACATGATAGTGAATGCATAACCTGTTATAAAAAAAACAGGAATCTTTTACAAATGTACGAAAAATAAACTATACATTAAAAGAATACAAGACATACCCCCCTCCCCCCACAAAAAACCCAACAACAACAACAAAGGCAAATATTCCATTTATGGTCAGAATAACGTCAAGTCAGGTTAAACGGGCTGCATGCAGATCACAGATATTCATTTGAAATGCATAAATCATCAATTACCTTGATTGTTTTTTCTCTATTCAATTTTGAACAATATTGTATGTGATGAATGTAATGTGACAAGTCTTTGTTTTGAACATATTTTATTGACAATATGTCAAAGGGATCGCACACAAGTTATCAATCGAATTAACTTACATAATAGAGGATAATATCACCTCATTTAAATTTTGCACATCTGAGACGTAATTTTGAATAACATATAAAACTTAAGGAAACGAAAGTATAAGTGCGTTGTACTTTTGGTGTACAAAAAAGTACAATATAACTGCTTACCACCAAAACACTGAAATAAGACCATCATGAAGTAACTTAAGTTTCTTCTCATGCAAAATTCCCAAGTACACAGC